GGGGGGGGGGGGGGGGGAAGAGAAGAAAAAAGCATAGCCAGCCGGCCCAGCCCAATAATGGTTAAAGGGCTGGGCCCAACTTGAAGTTCAAGGTCCAGGAATCCAGTCGACCAGTTTTCAGTCACCGTCGAATCCAAGATCGAAGAAACGACGGGCTTTGCTCACAGCCTCCGGTGAGATTTCGAAAGAAGCTTCTCTCGGACTTTTCATTCCGGCGGGACTTTCGAAACTTTCCGATCGCGTTCTATCGTCTCTTCTATTTTGCCTTTTACATTGGCTATTCCAGGTAGAGTCTCTCACCTTTTCTGTTGCGTCTCTGGATTGTAGGGATTCAATTGCTCCTTTTCAAATGTCTGTTATCAGGTTGTAAGATTATATATATATATATATATATTCATTTTACTTCTGATTAGAAGAATGCAGAATTATAATAGATTCAAGCGGGAAAAATTTCCCTCAAATTTATCATGAAATCAGTCAAATCAGTCGAGCCTACTTTATTTTCTACTTTTTCAGGATCTGGGAAGAACTATGGCATGAAATTCTGACTCTCGTATGACCACAGAGCATTACGATTCTCTTTTAAAAAAAAAAAAGAAACCAAATTAGTACCTGGCTGAGGTTGAAATGCATGGGATTTTTTTTTCCAAACTTTATTTTCATTTTTTCTCATGTTAATTGGTCGGTAATCATTATAGTTTATGTGCGGTTTTGACAACGCTTATAATCCACTGTGTTTAATATTGGTAATCATGTTAAAATCATAAAATGTAATCCGTTCTAGATGTCTTTTTAATGTGTTTGGTTCTTAATTTTAAAGGTGGCTTGAATTAGTTGAAATTTGAAGACTCCATTCTTGATATTCGTTGCCATGGCATCTAGACGGAATGTTCGTTACAGCTCCCTTGCTGCTGATGATAACGATCTTGATTATGAAGGAAGTCAATATGATCCTCGCTTTTACTATACCCCAAAAGCTTTTGACAAGATCCCGTGGAAATCCATTGCTCTTGCTCTCTTCCTGTTGCTTCTTGGGTCATTCCTTTTGTTTCTTTCGTACTTCGTACTAACTGGTCACATGGCTGGAGAGAAATCACAAGCTTATGGTCTTTTAGCATTGGGCTTTCTAACTTTCCTCCCAGGTATTGATGAGAATTTATTTTTCATGATTTCTTGAATGTAATTCTTGTATCATTTATTTCTACTGTATGCAAAGTGTTGTAGTAATGGTGTCATGATAATGATTTTGGTTTAACAGTCAGACGACAATAAGGAATCCAATGGTGTCATGGTCATGTAGAACAATGACATAATGTAGAAAGGGAAATTTTGGGTCAAAGAAATTTCTAAAACACTCCAATTGGCACAGATTGGCGGGAGAATATTTTACAAAAGATATTGTCAATTTTATAAAAATTTTGTCAAGTTTATTAGATAACACGAAAGGATACCAAATTTCTACCAAGAAAGTTTTTTTCAAAAATTTTCTAACTTTTGGACTTTTTTCATGTGAAGAATTCGAGTTAATAGTGTCGTGTTACCAAGCTTAAGTGACTATCAATTTAATTTATTTGGTTCGAAGTGGCGTTGACTCATCCTGCCTTAGAAGTTTGATAATCTGAGCAACTTTTGCTTTGTCGTTGCAGGCTTTTATGAGACTAGAATTGCATATTATGCATGGAGGGGTGCTAATGGATATCGCTTCGCTTCCATTCCCGATTACTAGGGGTTTCTATCTCAATGGTGTATGCTTATCTCATCTCTCTTTCAATGTAAAACTATCATATGAAGTTAGAAAATGTTTTGTATAGAATTACGTCTCTTGAGTTTGCAATGTGTTCGTCTTTTATTCCTTATTCATAGCTTGTTTAGGCTTAGAAAAACGATAATCAAGTAGGTGTGATTTGTTAACTTAACAAATCTTGTTGCTAAAACTCATGAACTCTTGTGTCCATGCAAAAACTTCAAATGAGATCATTCTATGCCTAACGGAGTGGAGCAAGGTTTATGCAGGATTTGAACTTTTTTCTGGATTACTTGTGCAGAAGAGAACATAAAGACAAGGCACAGGTTGTTTCATACCAAAACACTAGATGAATGTTATCTTTGATTGATTTATATATTTATAATTTCTAGACTTCGATGCTCAAAAACATCGTCGATTGTTATAAACCTTTAATCGTCCTACTGCCATATTTTAGCACAATCAAAAAAGCCAGTTGTAGATTGAAGATTTTTAATTTTAGCAAAGGACAAACTAAAAGATTTGTCAACTTTGTCCATAAACGTCTTGATGGGATCCCTACAATCCCAAAAACTTTTATTTCAACAATTGATTATTTTGTTCTTCTTGGAAGCTGTCTAATGCTGGACGGCAAAGCCGAAGCAAACTACTTTAGGGGGATAAAGAGTAACCCTTTCTTGTGTGCGATTTATCTGTATTTGCACCAATTTGATTTTATAATCAAATTCTTTAGCTAAGAAGAGAGTGTAGGCTATGTTTGGTATGTCTACATTCTTTCCTTACACAAGAAGGGGACAATTATTCAACGCGAGTGTGTGAACATAGGCCTAAAGAGAATATGCTTTTTTTTTTTTCCTTTTTTTTTTTTTGTTTAGCTTTGTTTCTTCAGTGTTGCGATATCTGTTCATCTGGGATTGGTATTTTCTTTTATCATCATGTATTTCGCATAAATCAAAGTAATGAATAAAGGAAGACTAGCAAGGTTGAAAATTAAGATGAAAACTAATTGTTTGGTGGATAAGATATGAATTTAACAATGCATCCCAATTGTTCTTCTCCATCCATGATCTATATAGATATATGGTTAATTGTTTATAAATATAAATTTTAGACTTCAGTTTTTCATTAAAGAAAGAAACAGGAGAGAAAAAAAAAAAAGTCCCAGAAACCCAATTTTCTCTTTCAGGACTTCCACTTGATGATGGCGAAGACAGAGAACTCAGTTAACGAAGCAAATGGGTGGAAGATCCAGTGAACTCCAAATCGACAAGTCAACTTCACTGCTTGAAAAAGACTCCATTTCAGGTGAACAGCTTTCTTCTTTATCTTCTTCCTCCTCCATCTTCTTCTCTTTCATCACTTGCTGATACTCCTCCTCATCTTCTTCTTCTTCTTCAACCTTCTCCTCATCTGATCTCTTTCTGTCACATGCTTTTCTCAAGCTTGCTATCAGCTCAGAAGATCTCCCTCTCCCATTCCCCCCATCTTTCCCAAGCTTCAATTTTAGGCATTCATTAATCCCATTAAAGGCATAGAGAGAAGCTGAAATCTTTCTCTCATATTTCATCCTTTTCATGGCTTCTCTCAGCATTGAAGGTGGCTGATCATCTTCATTGATCCCTTCTGCTTCCATTGGCTCCCCTATCTCCTCTGCAATCTCAAATGGAGAGTAGTAACATGGTGGCCCAATGTCATCGAGGAAATGAAAATCCAAAACACTTGATTCTTCTTCTGCTTCTTCTTGTTGGATTCCACTTTTTTCATCTCCTTCTGAGTTACTCATCTGGGTCATTCCCAACCAGTTGCCGCTCTCCATATCTCCACCGTCTGATTCATCTTTCTCAGTCAAACACGACTCAAAACTCCTACTGATTTCTTCAATATTGGGGTTGTTGGTGGTGAAAACTTCATGGTCGTTCAGCAAATCACTTAGAACTTTGTCTGTTAAACATGTTGTTGCCAATTCTTCTCTGCATCGATATTCATTTGTGTGTAAAATCCTCTCTTGCGTTGGCTGGTGTTTCTGTTCTTGATGATTATTTGGAAGATTGTTGTTATTGATGGACTTGTTTCTTGCATTCAGCCTTTGGATAAGAAGATTGGTGATCTTTGAAGGAAGGGCTGGTGATGAAGCTGATAAAGGGGAACAAGGCCAGAAGTTGGTTCTTGTGTTGGAGCCACGGAGCAAGCAAGCTGCCTCATCATAAGCTCTAGCTGCTTCCTCAGCTGTGTCAAATGTGCCCAACCATACTCTAATCTTTTGTATAGTGTCTTTGATCTCCGCCACCCATCGCCCCGACGGTCGTTGTCGGACGCCAACGAATCGCTTTCGAGGTCTTCGAATTCCTCCTAGCTCTGCAGCCACCGCGTCCTCCTTCACCATTTCATCCCATCCCATAGCTCCTCCTTCACCGGAGCTCTTGTCTTCCTCCACTCCTTCAACAGCCTTTCTCTTTCTTGCCATTTGCTATGATTTTTGTTTTGGTTAATTGTCTTCCTCTTCCCCTTTTAGTGCAGAAGACACTGGAAAGTCAGGATTGCTCGACTTCACCTTGAGTTGCTGTAAGTACATATTTATAAAGGGGGAAGAAGAGAAGTGCTAAGGCTGGGGAATTGAAATGGTCCTTCGTGAAGTTTTGGTCCTACTTTTTTGTAATTTTTAATATTGGCTTCATCTTAAGGGGCCACATGGCAGTTGATCAACAACTGCAAAACTCAAACCAGGTAAGTTAGTGATGTGATTTTTCAAGTGATTTTTCCGACTCATTCAAAAGGGTTTCGTTATGGCTTAATTAATTTCTTATTTTACTCCAAATCCTTGTAATCAATGATTTCAAGTATTGCTTTAATTGGTACTTAAAAGAAAGAAAGAAAGAAACATCTTTTTAGCATATAGAAGACAAATAACCTTGAAATTATCACTTTCATACAAGAGAATCAAATTGGTAATTAACTCAATACTATTTCACTTTGTGATGATAAATAAATAATATACTATCTGACGATCGTTGTATTTTTTATTAACTTGTATTGGCTACTTAGGATTAAATTACATTTATAACAATTGAGATAGACTAATAGAGACCAAATGAAATGAAGAATTCAACCATCTAACTTTTAAGTTAGAGTATAAGATTTATTGTAATACTCGAGTAAATGAAAAGTACATGAATGAACTAACACCATATTCAAGTGAGAGTAATCACGAGGATATAATGATTAACAATATTTAAAAGAATTGATATTTTAACGTCTTTAGTTTGAAACAATCCTAAGCTGAGAATGAAATGAAGTCAGGAACATTTTACTTTGGATAATTAACCGTATAATATAAAAAAAAAGAAAAAAAAAGAGGAAAACCGATCAAATTGCTCTCTAACTATTTGTGTTTTGGCAATGAACGTAAATGGAAAGCGATTTATCCAATGTATTTAATGTCACATCATAGGTTAAATATTAATATTTATTTATTTATTTTGAATTTGAGCTTACAAATGTGACACTAGAAATTTAATTTAAAACTTTATAGTTAATCATTGAATATCATATTATTTAACTAAATTTGGGTAACGTCACACTAAAAAGTTCTAGATGTCGACAAGTTTTTAATTATTTATTTATTTATAAACAATAATGCTATTTGATATTATGCAACAAAAACACATACAAAAAGTCAAAAACTTTGTTACCCTTTCGTTTTTATCTCTCGATTTAAAAAATTAAGACAATCAAATAAGACAATATACCTAATAATTTACCCTAAAAGAAATACACAAAATATTACAAATAGTTATAATAGAAAATAAAATCAATTTTTTTACTAATTTCATATTTTATTAAATTAAAATACATCTACAATTTCTTATCTCTAAAAAATAATGAAATAGAAGAGAGATTTATTGAGATGTAACGAATCTAGAGGCGAAGAACTGCTTCAAGTAAAAAGACAAAGTCGAGATTATATTAATTTTCAATTTAATGGTTCTTGAAATTAACCAAAATCCACTTGTTTCACAATGCTTATTATTATATATGTATGAGTTTTGAATGAATCAAACCCAAACAAATTATAAGCATTTGGAAGTTGTTAATTATTTTGTTAGATGGATTCTAAAAGGAGACTTCTAGAGATATGCTTTTAAATTTCTTCTTCATTTTCTTATTGTATTTAAATACAAATCAAACCCATTCAAAGAAGAAACAATTATTCTATTTAAATACCTCAATTATTCATTTCTTCTTCACGATCATGTAACAACTTTTAAAACGCGTCTATTAGGGACAGGTTTTCACGCCCTTGTAAAAAAATGCTTCATTCTCCTTCTCAACCGATGTGGAATCTCACAGTCTATCCTCTTTCGGGGCTCAGCTTTCTCGTTGGTACTCGTTCCCTTCTCCAGTCGATGTGGGACCCCCAATCCACCCCTTCAGAGCCCAACGTCCTTACTTGCACACCGCTTGTGTCCACCCCTTTAAGGATTAGTCTCCTCACTGGTACATCGCTCGGTAACCTGACTCTAATACCATTTGTAACAGCAAAAAAAGACAACATTTGTTAGTGGTGGGCTTGGGCTGTCACAATCATTCTCGTACTCTACCAGCTTTCTCTAACTCCATAAGTATAGTAGAGATCGAAATTAGGGTCGGCCCCTTCCAATTGGCTTCCCTGCGATAAGTTTATAGGAGTTGATGCATTGTTCGAGACGTGTATTTCAAAATTGCATTTTTTAAAAATAGAATAGCATGCGTGCATTTGTAGCGTCGAGCACGGTGCCTACTCCTCTCTGCTCCTTGTCGTCGTTTTCGACTTTGCCTAAATTTCTTTCTGGTCTCTTCTAAAATAAATGAGGAATTCCACAGAAAAGCTTCCTCATCGGGTCGTGTATCCGTAAACATCTTCTATTCTCATGTGAAAAAATTATATTAACTAGTTGAAGTATACATACCTTACTAGAACTTCAAAATAGTAATAATAAAATCATAAATAAAGATTAAAATTAGACATGAAAAAAAAAAAAAAGGAAAAAAAGTAAAGGTTGGAAACAAAAGTATATAATGAATTGGGTAAATTCCTTGAGACGCCGTTGGCCATCGAAGCCTTCATTTGCAACAACAAAATTGGTGCTTCCGACGGGCGTCGGTACCTATTCCTCTTGTTCTTTAATTCTTCCAATTGCTTAGTCACGAATTTTCACGTTCTACAATCTTCGCCCTTGGGCTTCACCATCTCTGATCGAATTGGGTAACCTATGGATTGATGTCTAATTCTCAGGGTCTTCCCAGAAATTGGGACCTTACATGTTGATCGGAGAGCCTTTAATTATTATTATTTTTTTAATTGAATCGAATTGAAGCGTTGATGTTATCTTGTCGTACGACTTTTTTCGAATAATCTTGTTTGATTGGCTTGGATCTGTCGTGCGAGTAAAATGCTGATTTCGCTGATTTGGGCAATTTGATTTTGAAGGTTTGGGCACGATGAGTGAGGTGTTTGAAGGGTATGAGCGCCAATACTGCGAGCTCTCAGCGAACCTCTCAAGAAAGTGCACTTCGGCTGGTGCTCTAAATGGAGGTATTTCCACCTGTTGATTTGTGAATTTTGGTTTCCGTATGTGGTTATATTTTCAGATTCCACCTGAAAATTAAATTGAAATTCGCGCCAGTGGCTGTTTCTCGATGTCTGTTATATATATATTTGTTTATGGATTGCGTATTTGGGATGCTAATTAACAATCGATTCGGGGGTCAAAACTTGTCAAATCTTGGTTAAAATAACTTTGTCTGATTTAGAATTAATACAATAACATGTTTTTTGTGCTGTTATAAAAATATTTAAATGACATCGTGATAAAATATTTTTAACCGTTTCAAAATCACTCTCATACATGTCCTTAGTTAATAATTGAATTACTATCTATAAGCGAATTACTGTTCATAGAGAAACATTTATGCATATTGTTAAAATCTGGATCAGTTATAAGTTCCGTTAGATCCCTCACTCTTTATGTTTAGCTTGTTCATTCTTGAATTGGGAAATAATTCCGAAAGAAGATTAGGAGTCCACTCCATATGGTATATTTTCATTTCATGTTAATGATTATTGTAATAACACTCGTTTTATGGCTGCTTTTCGATTTCCGTATCTCTCAACTTTTAATTGTGTGGGGCCAAAATCCTCCCTGTAGATTATTTGATATTACAATGTAGGATACTTACTTTGAAGAGATGAAGTAGTTCATTCCAACACGTACATCCAAACACTCGCAAATATCTGCCTATAGGATGGTACTGTATTAGTAAGAGAAAGGAGAGTGATGTCCCATCCCTTCTTTAGGTGTATAGTTTTGTCAAAATCTGCAGCCTTTTTTGTCATTCATTGATTGTTCTCTTACTTTCTCTCATGGCTGCCAAACATCAACTGAGAGAGGAGAAGCAATGGCTCACGAATCAATTGGTTTCAAGCGGACTCATGGAGTTATTGCTTGGATTATTGTAAAATAAGAGGATTTTTAATCCTTTCTCAGCTAATGACTTTTTAAGTTTAAGTGTTCACTATCTAGCTTCAAATTTTCTCTAACCTTTTCTTAGTGATGATCATTAAAATTCAATTTGTTTAGTTTCTTTCAAATTGAAGCTTCTTTTATATTATTTCGTTTAATATTAGAGAAAAAAAAATAGACTGACGTTATTTGCTACATGAATGTATCATACCTGCAGAGCAAAAGAAGCAAACGGTTTCTGAAGTGAAGGCTGGGATTGATGAAGCAGAAGCTCTGGTACTTTGTCGACATGTCCTTGTTGAGAAAAATGCCTTCAAACATCATCTTGCAATGTTAATATTATATTTTTTGTGATTTCTAGATTCGAAAAATGGATCTTGAGGCCAGAAGTTTGCCTCCTAATGTCAAGGCTGTCCTTCTGGCTAAATTAAGAGAGTACAAATCTGACCTCAACAATTTGAAAAGTGAAGTTAAACGCATTGAATCCGGAAACTTAAATGCAGCCACTAGAGATGAGTTGCTGGAATCAGGAATGGCTGATACACTGACGGTATGTCTGTATCCACTTCTATACTAATTGTTTTTGTTACATATATGTTGAAATGACTTATTTTCTTCATCACTGCCACTGCCATAGAATCTTCCAATTTTTCTGACGGGTTATAATAAATATGTAAATGGGTGCACTAATCAGCTGTCCAAGACAATATGTATTAGATTGTCTTTTGCTGTGCCTCATTGGAAAACCAAAGATGTTGTTGCTATGTTTCTTGTAGTTGTCAATGTTAAAGTTTTTAACCTATAAGACACGCTTTCTCTTCCTTAATTCTTGATTTTAAGTCCTGAAGCATTCATATATTATCTTTTGCAATTGTGTATTAGCTATGACTCATGCCTGCGTACCATTTCATATAGGCATCGACTGATCAAAGAGCAAGATTAATGACCACAACAGAGAGGCTAGGTAAGTCTAGTGATAGAATTAAGGAAAGTCGAAAAACCATGCTAGAAACAGAAGAACTTGGAGTTTCAATTCTTCAAGATTTGCACTCGCAGCGACAGTCTCTCTTGCATGCTCATAATACGGTATGCGATTTTACTTTTCATGTTATTTGTGATGTAGATTCTTTATATTGTGTTCTTGTGATTATGATAAACCAGCCATTGTATTTCATGACCGCCACTATCTTTGTCAAGCAAATCCTTCCCTAATTTGTCCTTAAATTTAGGCTACTTGATTTTTTTCTTTCATGTTTGTTTTTACAATTGTATTGCTTTTTGGGTCTCTCTGCTTGTAGTTTTT